GAGAAACCTGTAGCCACACTAACCAAGAAAAAATTATATACCTAGAAAACCCTATAGTCTTGGCCCAAAAGCTACTACAGCTGACAAACAACTTCAGAAGTTTCAGGACACAAAAATACTGTGCAAAAATCACTAGCATTCCTATCTACCAAACAGCCAAGCTGAAAGCCAAATTAGGAACACAATCCCGTTCACAATTGCCACAGAAAGAGTAAAATATCTAGCAACAGAACTAACTAGGAAGGTGAAAGAGTTTTATAATGAGAATTACAAAACCCTGCTCAAAGAAATCAAAGATGACACAAACAAATAGAAAAATATTTCATGCTCATGAATAGAAAAAATCAATATCCTTGATATGGCCACACTGCCCAAATCAATTTGCAGATTCAATGGTATTCCTGTCAAACTACCAGTGACTTTCTTCACAGGACTAGAAAAAACTATTATAAAATTCATATGAAACCAAAAAAAGATCCCAAATAGCCAAGGTAATGATAACAAAAAAAAGGAACAAAGCTAGAGGCATTACATTCCCCAACTTCCCACTACACTGCAGGGATACAGTAACCAAAACAGCATGGTACTGGTACAAAAACAGGCACATAAACCAATGGAACAGAATAGAGAACCCCGAAATAAGGCAACAAACTTGCAATTATCTGATCTTTGACAAAGCTGACAAAAACAAACAATGGGAAGAGAACTCAGTATTCAATAAATGGTGCTGGGATAACTGGCTAGCCATATGCAGAGGATGGAAACCAGACCCCTTTCTTGCACTCTATGCAAAATTTAACTCAAGATGGATTAAAGACTTCACTGTAAACCCCAAACTATAAAAACCCTAGAAGACAGAATAGGCAATATTATTCTCGACATAGGAATGGGCAAAAATTTCATGACGAAGACACCAAAAGCAACCAAAACAAAAGCAAAAATTGACAAGGTATCTAATTAAACTAAAGAGCTTCTGCACAGCAAAAGAAATTCTCAGCAGAGTAAACAGACAACCCACAGAATGGGAGAAAAATTTTGCATTCAATGCCACTGACAAAGGTCTAATATCCAGCATCTAAAAAGAGCTTAAACAAATTTACAAGAAAAAAAAAAACTCCTTTAAAAAGTGGACAAAGGACTTAAACAGACATTTTTCAAAAGAAGACATACATGTGGCCAATAAGCATATGAATAAAAGCTCAATATCACTGATCATTGGAGGTATGCAAATCAAAACGACACTGAGATGCCATCTCACCCTAGTGAGAATGGCTATTATTATTTTTTAACATTTAAGTTCAGGGCTATATGTGCAGGTTTGCTACATAGGTAAACTTGTGTCCTGGGGGTTTGTCATACTGATTATTTTATCACCCAGGTAATTAAGCCTAGTATCCATTAGTTATTTTTTCCTGATGCTCTCCCTCCTCCCATCTGTAAATTAAAGTGTCCCACTCCTGCTGCACATAAGGTAATGACTATTTTTGGCAGGCAGAAAATTCATCATGACATGGATTTCAATAAATATTTATCTGGCACTTCTGGAAAGTGGGGACAGTTCTTTAGGAAAATTAAGACATCTATGTGGATAAATATAAAAATATTTCCAAATCCTTTGGGGTAGGCAGGATATGAAGCAAAAAGGTGGGAAGCAAGATACACACTTTGGTGTATAAACTTTTGGATTTTTGTTCTCTTTCTGTGAAGAATGGCGTGGGTATTTTGATAGGAATTGCTTTTAATCTGTAGATTGTGTAGGACTGTATGAACATCTTTATGATAATTGATTATTTCAATCCATGAACATGGAATATCTTTAGATTTTCTTGTATCCTTTTCAATTTCTTTCATAATGTTTTGTAGTTTACATTGTAGAGATATTTTACTTCTTTGGTTAAGTTCATTGCTAATTTTATTCCTGTATGTTTAAGAGCTTTGTGGTTGGTCTCTATAGTTATAAGTAGGTCACAAAGAACAGTGCTAGTCTCTAGTGATCATCAGAAGATACTAGGCTTTAAGGGAGTTTTCTAAGTTTGATTATGTTGGTTTCCGATTCTTTCCTACTCTCTAGGGCCCAAGTCACAATATAGAAATTCTACACAATCTTCTTCTGTCATAGTTCTTGTCACTGTAATATGATAGTCGTGCATTATTTCTTTCTGACTGAACATGGTCCTTAATAGATATTTATGCAATGAATACATAGAGGCTATAGCACAGGACACATTATACCAAAGTGTCTTCATTTGCTCCACCTCTCTTTTCCACCTCCTACTTTCTGTTTTCCATCTCACTCCATTCTTATTGGCATTTTATCTTTTCATCCTTGACATCATCTTTGGTCACATCTTCTCATATCACATCATTTGGAGGGAAACAACATCTCTTTGACTTACCAGTGTAAGAGTTCACTCCTCATTTACATCAGGTATAACTCCCAATGCAGTCCCTCCCCCCTCCCCCCTCCCCATGATAGGCCCCGGTGTGTGATGTTCCCCTTCCTGAGTCCAAGTGATCTCATTGTTCAGTTCCCACCTATGAGTGAGAACATGCGGTGTTTGGTTTTCTGTTCTTGTGATAGTTTGCTAAGAATGATGGTTTCCAGCTGCATCCATGTCCCTACAAAGGACACAAACTCATCCTTTTTTATGGCTGCATAGTATTCCATGGTGTATATGTGCCACATTTTCTTAATCCAATCTGTCACTGGGTGCAGCACAGCAACATGGCACAAGTATACATATGTAACAAACCTGCACGTTATGCACATGTACCCTACAACTTAAAGTATAATAATAATAAATAAATTTAAAAAAAAAAAAAAGAGTTCACTCCTTCCTAGCTCGAAATTCTCATTTCCTTTAATAAGTAATATTTTTATAAGCCTCCTTTTTAATTTGCAATATCAACAGTGGTGGATAAACACTCATATATATATGGTAAATTTATAGTGAATCATTTAGTTACTATAAACATTGCATTTAAAAAATATAGGACACTTTAAAAAAAAAAAAAAGCTGGGTAATAAATGAAAGTAATAGAGAACACCCAAGTGTGGAGATCCACAGAAGAGAGGACATGTCAAACAGATAGGATTGAATATTTTTACGAAGAAACCTCTGAAGATTAAGATACCCAGAAATCTCCTTCCAAATAAAGTTGTACTCACAGCACCATTAGCTTGCATAACACAAAATTTATTAAAAATGAAAAAAATATATATACCTGAAGTGACTTTATCATTATGCACCGAGTGTTTTAATATTTTTCCCTACTTTAGGGTCAAAATAAAGTTACCTATTTTCTGGAACACCCTTCACAATACCAGACTCGTATAGATGCCCAAGCATTTCTGGCAAATTAATTTCTAAGAAGGATAATTCTTCTTCACATTAGAAATTCCCAGATTATTACATGCATACACATAAATAGTACTCCATTCATTTATTATCACACTAGGTAAACCAATTATTTTTCAATTGATACATTTTCATTGCATTATAATATTTAGACTTGAAAATTTAAATAAAAACCTGACATCAATATATTATAGATCTGGTAAAATTCATCATATTTCATTTGTCATATTTGGCTACAAGCAATTTTATGGTCTTCTAGCCTTTCTTCCTAAATCTAAAAATCGTCATTTGAGGACCTTCTTAATGGTTTATGAAAACTGACTTTGGTGGAACAAATTTTGTTATTAAACATGTGGTTACATTATTCCATTGGTCAACAGAAGGCCTAACTAGAAAATGATATTCAGTGGAATCCAAAGATAATTTTTATAAAAACAAAATTATGATGGAAATGTAATACACAATAAAAATGGGAATGAATTTGGGACTGTGGAAAAGTGATTATATTACCTCAGACATCTCATCTTATGCAAACAAGATAGCTTTTTCCTGTGTTTTCATTCTTTCACCAAGTGGAAGAAAGATTGGTGTAAAAAGTAGACTGAATATCTCAACTCCAAGGCAAATTTAAAAATACCCAATCATTACTTTTCCAGTTACTTGAGTCTAATTTTGTACTGTAGAGTTGTATTGTATTTCCTTTTTAATATCACAATGATTTATATCTTATTCATAATTATTCATATCATATCATAATTATTCATAATTATTCATGACTGAAGATTTAGTTTCTTTGGTTCTTTAGTCCTGAAGGAAGTCTTCAACACTGGAACCAACTTACAAGTAAATTGAACACACACATAGAATGTCAACATAATCTTCCATATGTATCTTCCAGTCTAGTTCTTTATTTGTAAGGATATATTCCTAAGTTTCAATGCCAGAATCCCCATTGGCACTTATAATAGGAATTTTCTGACCTTTGCTTTATGATTTTTATTTGACGAGTCTGGGATATAGTCTGATTACTCCTATATAAGTTGTACAATAGGTTCAAGTGTACACTTACTGATCAAAAACTATCAGAAAAAAGAACAAAAATTAAAAACATATTTCTAATGGTATAAGAAACTCCCATGAACAAGTTTTTTATTTTTTAATTTTTTTTCAGATGGAGTCTCACTCTGTCGCCCAGGCTGGAGTGCAGTGGCCGAATCTCAGCTCACTGCAAGCTCCGCCTCCCGGATTTACACCATTCTCCTGCCTCAGCCTCCCCAGCAGCTGGGACTACAGGTGCCCACCACCTGGCCCGGCTAGTTTTTTGTATTTTTTAGTAGAGACGGGGTTTCACCATGTTAGCCAGGATGGTCTCGATCTCCTGACCTCGTGATCCACCCGTCTCGGCCTCCCAAAGACAAGTTTTTTTTAAAGTTTATTAATATACCCAAATAGAACATTTGTTTTCCATATTAAGGAAGAATGGTATTTAGAGGAAGGAGAAAAGGAAATTTTTATAAAATATGATGTTTACAAAGCAAACCCAGTATTATAAAAGCATATTCAATGATAGTAGTCTGTGCATTTTAAAAATTGTAGAAAATATATTGGAATAAAATATTTTCAATTATATCATGGTGAGGATTGAAAACATGTATTAATTGGTAGTATGTCTATATTGTTTCTTCAAACAATATTTAAAAAGAGTTAAAGAGCTTTATTTTAAATATTATTGTCAGTTCAAGTTTGCTAACTTTGTTGTAAAAAGGATTTTAGTCGTCTGTATTCACAGTTTTTCAAGATGCAGGGATCCACGCTACCCAACCATACCTGGAAAAAAAAAAAAAAAGAGTCCACAGAATGAAAAATATTCACTTTAATTCCCTTGTTCACATTCTGTTGCTCTGTTCAAACTTCACCTTTTAAAACTGATACTGCGCCTTACTCCTGAATATATTTTATTCAGACTGATTACCTGATTATTTCTGGGCAAAGTTAATGAATAATATTTTTGCTTTGTATTTCTCTCACAATTCAAAATGTTTCCATGTATTTTACTTTTTAAATTCAAAAATCTTTAAATCCTACCTCTTGGTAATTCTTAGGGTTGCTTGTAAACTTGTAAGTCAGGCACCTAAAGTTTTATTTCTCTCACGTAATGGCAGGTTACATGAACTATCTCTTCATTTATGTATATAGTTCTAAAATTACATTGATTTAAAAGATTAGCATGGATTTTCCATGAATTTCTTTAAGGCGACTTTTACATCATTATTCCTTAGGCTGTAGATCAAGGGATTCAGCATAGGAATCACCAATGTGTAAAACACAGAGGCCGTCTTATCAGTATCCAGTGAGTGGTTGGTTTGGGGCTGCAGATACATGAACAGCATTGTCCCATAGAAAACTGTGACTGCCATCATATGTGAAGCACAGCTGGAAAAGGCTTTTTTCCTTCCTTCTGATGAACGTATCCTTAGAATGGACAAAACAATATTGAAATAAGATACTAGAACTGTAATCATGGAAAAAACCAAATTTGTTGCTGCAGATATGAAGACTATTGTTTCTGGTAAGTAAGTATCAGAGCAAGATAATGCTAACAGAGGTGCAATATCACAATAAAAATGATTGATTATATTAGAAGAGCAATAAGACATAGAGAATATACAAGGTGAAACCACAATAGCTGTAGAAAAGCCATAGAGGTATGTGAGGGAGACCAGCAGGAGGCAGAGCCGCCGAGACACCAGCACCATGTAGAGCAGAGGGTTACAAATGGCCACATAGCGGTCATAGGCCATCACAGCCAGCATCATTACCTCCGACACAATAAAGAACAGGAACCCTCCCAGCTGGGTGGCACATTCATAGAACGAGGTAGTTTTCTTCTTTACTAAAAAGTTAATCAGCATTTTAGGGGCAATGACAGTAGAGTTACCAAGATTGATGATAGCCAGCTGTCGCAGGAAAAAGTACATGGGGGTTTGAAGTCGAGAGTCAACACTGGTGAGGGTGATGATGCCCAGGTTCCCTGCCACGGTCAGCACATAGAGCACCAGGAAGACCAGGAAGAGGGGAATCTGGAGCTCTGGACAGCCAGAGACACCCGTGAGAACAAACTCAGTGACGCTGGTGAAATTTTCAGGAGCCATGTCAGAGTTTGGAAATTCATCTGTTTGAGGAAGAAAATAAGTGGTTAGAGACTTTAAGGAATCATTTTCTAGGACTTCCATTAGATGGCAAGGACAATTCCTGGGTGAGATCTTCTTGTCATGTATTAATCTAATTCAGTTTTTAAACTCAGTGTTCTGAGTCTAATAAATCAGCTTTGCAATCATTTGGGAGAGAGTAAAGCAAGTATGGTAAATGTAGTATGGCAAAGTAAATAGTTGTTTCAGCATCCTGCAACATTTTGAGGGTTTACTGCCTTGCAGTGTAATTGAATTAAGAATATGTTCTTAGCTTACAAACATTTGAAGCCGAGATGTATCTGATGATTTTTGCATTGATCATGAGAAAGGCTTAAGAAATTGTATATCACCAAATAATCCAGTGACTACTTGCAATTTCCTAATCTGATAATTCTTACTTTGTCTCAAGAATAGGTACTATACTCTTCATTTTAAGAATTATATCCCTTTATAAGATGTATTAGATGTATATTGAGCTTACAAATTACAACATGCATGTCTGTTTACTGCTTTTGCTCTTTCCATTTTATTGACTCAGACAAAAATACATGGGTAATGTCTTCGGATTTATTTTTCAGGTTGCTGTTTCTCTTCTTAGGTTTCCATAAATAATATCAGTAAAATTTTTATCATTTTTGTAATTCCTTGACATTATGCTTTCCTGGGTACTACTTTCTATTTCTTCCCTCTCATGACTATTCCTTGTGCTAAAATTTGTACAATTCTCCATGTTTTTTTCATGATTTTTCTTCTAAATCAGTTTGTTTATAAAATGTTATATTTCTTAAATTGACACAATAAACCTGCTCTTAATTTTAGCTGATTTTTTATGTTTTTGATATTTATATTATTGTAACAGAAAAAAACACCTTCATTTTGAGAGTTTTTATGATAATTATGTTGCATGTATTTGCCATAGATTCAGCATGCTATTTTAGTATGGATGAATATTTTCCTCGAGTTGTATATTTTAATCATGATTATTTGCCCCTTACTAAGTGAATTCATGTCCTGTTGGAGTCACAGTTGATAGTTCCAGTGGTGGGCACCTGGTCCAAATAAGTCTTATTATATAGTTCTTTATTTTAAAGTTCGCTATTAAGTTCCAGAAAGTTAACAATATATTATCACAAAGGTCTGAATTTTAAAAGCTCAGAGCTATTGACATTTTCTCTCCTTCTAAAAGAGATAGAGTAGAAAGAAAAACAAATAATTATTCTGCAGTGAGAAAAAATAATGAAGTGACTATTTTTTAAAAAAACAGAAATAAGACCAAAATGACTCCTAACATTGTTGGATATCTGGTACCAGTTTGTTTGATGATACCAAGCGTAAATTTTTCCTTTGAGTTTCGTGAATCATCCTCTTATTTTCCGCATATTTATTAAAATTGTACTTTGTTCCAGGCTATGTTCGAGCTTCAGATAAATTACCTGACCCTCAAATCATAAATACGTTATTGTAATGATAGGGAAGAGAAAAATCTGTTTAGAAGACATATAAACACAATAATTGCAGATTTAAATAAGCATAATATGTAAAACAAACAAGATAATATAGTAGGATAACCTGGGAGAGTACTTTTACTTGGAATATTAATATTAATACTTTCACAAGGAAGGCTCTTCTGAGAAGGTGGCATTTGAGTTGAAACCTAAAGGTTGAGAAAGAATCAGCTATTTAATCAATCACAGGAAGGGCTTTCCAGGATTCCAGGCAATAATTAATTTCTTGAAAGTGCATATCTGGGAAAAAAAAAAGTGTGACCTATGCCACATTTGTTCTTCATTCAGATAAAGTTATCCTGGCTTTAGAATATGTTCTCATAAACGCTGTAACATACATAGATAGGAAATGAGAATAGGACAAGAGGGGCACTAGGTAGATAATGATAGACAAAGATCCGTGTTAAAAATAGATGAAAAGCGTGAAGCATTAAGTTAATAGCACTACATTGCAAGGAGGAAATAGTTTTGCAGCGTATAGGGGCCTTCAACATCTTTGCTGGTAACTTAGTTTAAGCTTTGCCCTTAAAAATTGTCAATGATCAATGCTTCTACTTACTTCAACAGAGAATCTGCTTTGCTTTCTACTTCTTTAGCCCTCACAGGTGGCTACAGAATAGACTTAAGGTTCTTTTCTAACCCCCTTGAGACTCATTTGGTTGAAGTTTCAATCTGATTCAAGGATAAAAAATTGTACATAATTACCTGAGAGAGTGCCTTGGATATTTGTTAATTCTCAGAATTTTCCATTAGAAAAAGTCATAATATTTTATGTTTCAGTCTAACTGAATAATTGAATTATGCAATATGACTAGACACAGGAAATTATAAATATGATTTTGTCAGCATTTCAGTTACACAATATTATGCTCATATTAAGTACACCACACAGACACCCACACATGCAATTTGTTAGCAAATGAAAAAAAAAATTTCTGGAAAAAAACATGCAAAATTTGAAAATACAACATCCATTGACAAAGGATACTTCTGGTGATTATAGTATAATACTACCAGACATATAGTTATTGGTTGACATAAGAAAGTGTCATGACTTTTATTTTTTCTGCCAATATATCAGTGGTAAAACATTTCTTCATCTGTTTATAATATATCTTTAATCACTAGCAATTTTGAAACATTTTGTTATAATTTTTTATAATCATATTTTTAAATAATTTTTTTATAATTGATGGTGAAGCACTTTACCATCATTTTCTGTTTATTTTGCTTGGAGTTATTTTATCCTGTTATATCTTCATCATTATTTAAAAAAATAGAAAGAAATTCTGGCTAACAACTTTTTCCATATTTCTTGTCCTATAATAGTTTTTTCTTTCCACTTAGACTTTATAATTAAAACATATGGTAGGTATCTTGTTATTGTTCTATTGTTCTATGGATGACTGAGACTGTTTCCATGGGTGTTGTTTTTAGTATTATGTTTCTGTCTGGCTTCATTCTGACTGTCTCTATTGTTGACAAGTCACATCTTTTCTTTTTCAGTGTATAATATGTATTTTACCTAGTAAATATTTGTTCATATCTTATATTGTATTTTCATCTCTTGAAATCCCATCTGACATTTGCAGTTTCATTTATTTCACACAATGTTGGTATTTGTGCTAAATCATTCAGTATATCCAACATCTATAATAATACTTTGAAGGTTGCACATTGCTGCTTTCTCATAGGACTAGAATTTGTGATTGGATGTTGACTATTGTAAATTTTATAATGATTGCTGTGTTTTATTTTTATTTGTTTTCCTAAAAGAAAGATACAAGTTTTAAAATGTACAAGTAAGTATTGACTTTAGTCACCCTGTCGTGCTATCAAACAGTTATCAGTTGACTCTATTTGAGACTTGTTTTCAAGCTAGCAAAGGGGTTTAAAATAGCTTTATTTCTGAGATTTCTACTGGATGTCTATGTGTTGTAAAAGGACTTTCCACTATGTCTTTTTAGAATTCTAATGTCTTCCTGCCCTGTGTAGTTTCTATGAAATGTTTCAGCTTACAATTTCCTGGTCTTTCTTTTAACAGCTTTATGCCATGCACACGTCTAGAGTTCAGCCAAAATCTCAAGAAAACTTATGGAGGAAAGGATGACCAACAATAAGGATAGGACCTATAGGAAACAAATAGCAATATGCTAAAAAGATGTTCTCCATTATCTGTGATAACTTTAAATGGACATGGATTACATTCTCCAATTAAAAGAAAGAAATTGACAGAATAAATTAAACAAACCAAAAAAATCGTGTGATCCAAATATATGCCATCTGCACGAGTCTGACTCACTTTGTTTAAATAAAATGAAAACAAGATTGAGAATGTACATCCTATTTTTTAAAAAAAGACAAAACCTCTACAAAACAAAGATATAGTTTACTAAAATATAGCTTAATGTGTGCTCCGCTGGTAGAATATAGGGTAAGAGATCACTAAAGAAAATAGTAAATCAGAAGAAAGACATTTTGGAAGGAAGTGGTATTTTCATTGAATTCTATTATATGAGTTAATTGGCTGATTATAATGAGAACAATCTATTTTTGAAGTATTAAAATGGGTCTTTTTTGTACAGTCATAAAGAATGTAATTATATCTATTAGAAACACTGTCAAGTGATAAATATTTTCTCATAATTTATTGTAGCAACGTTCTAAGCTAAAGCTGTAGATCAAGAGGTTAAATCTGAGGATCATTAAACCGTAGAACAAGGAGGCCATTTATCCATATCAAAATGTAGAGATCCATAGAACATAACTACCATTGTAAGATGAGAACTACACATGGAGAAAGCTTTTTTCCTGCCCAGTGCAGAATGCATTCAACATATGGCTGACAAAATCAGAATGTTTGACACTAGCAGTACCAGCAGGTAGGGATCAAAATAAATGCTGAAAGCAGTATGATCAGCAATTCTCTTTCCTGTGCATTTGAGCACAGCGTATGGAACAAAAGAACAATATTGTAAATTTTAGTTAAAATATCTTGCTTTTATAATACTTTATAATAATAATTTCTGTGTTTTATTTTTATTTGTTTTCCTAAAAGAATGATAAAAGTTTTAAAATGTACAAGTAATTATTGACTTTAGTCACCCTGTCATGCTATCAAAGAGTTATCAGTTGCTTTTGCAACTTTGGCAAAGATGTATTTCATTGTGAGTTCGTTACTAAAGTCCCACCCAGGGAGCAGAGGGGGGCCTAGATCTTAACCTTTATTAGCTGCATGTTATCTTTGACTCTTTAAGAATATTAAAATTTCACCAAAATTGTCGAACATAATAGAAATGTACTAAAGAAAAACTGTGATACCATTATGTAGAGTAAATTTAATGTAATATTCATATATTGACATACATAGAGCTTTGCTATATCAATTGATATGCACAAACATTCTATTAAGAATTTAATCTATGCTGTATCAATGTAATATGTTATATTTATCCCTGCATTTGAAAAGTTACAAC